TTTTTTTTTTCGGTACGCGGGCCTCTCAGTGCTGTGGCCTCTCCCGTCGCGGAGCACAGGCTCCGGATGCGCAGGCCCAGCGGCCGTGGCTCACGGGCCCAGCCGCTCCGCGGCATGTGTGATCCTCCCAGACCGGGGCGCGAACCCACGTCCCCTGCATCGGCAGGCGGACTCTCAACCACTGCGCCACCAGGGAAGCCCAAGAGCACCTATTCTTAAGAAACTTGCAGTTTAATAGTCCCAACCATTGTTTCTAATATTATTTTTATAAGAAAAAATATGTAATAAATTCTAAATATATAATTTAAAAATTAGCTTTTGAAATGAAAAATGTATAGTAGTTAAAGACCACTTATATATGTTTTAATATTTTACATTGTCATTGATTGCTCTATTGAAGGTCAGATGTTGTAATTATTTGAATATCTGTTCTCTGTTTTCTCATCAAAATCATATTTTTTTGTTCAATAGCGGTTCTTATAGGCTACAGAGTATCCAAGAAACCCTTAAATTGTAAGCAGAATTATGTATATATGTTCATTTTCCAGAAAAAGAGTCTACAGTTTTTATTAGATTCCTAAAAAGGCATATTATTCCTAAATGGTTAAGAATTTATCCTTTCACATATATGAAAAAGTGAAGTTGACTCTTATGAATGTGACGTGAATAAGAAGTTTCTATTAAATGAAAGCTAGGTGAATTTCTGTTAGGATTGGAGGATATTTTCATCCTTAAATACACAGCCTCCATTAATGAAATTCCTTGATTATTATCTTAAAACCTTTAATTAATGGACATTTTATCTCTTACTCTGCTGAGCCACTAATTTAAAGTTGACTTTTTCGTTTTAAAAATAAGTATCAAAATTAATTCAAGCAAATTGTTAATAGGGAAATTTAAGGAATGTAAGACGTACAGAATTGGAAACTGAATTGACAGGAGTTCTGATATCTTGAAAGGACTCAATTCTTTATGGCTTAATTTAAAAAGTTCAAAAATGGTGGTTTTTATTTTAGAATATTACGTTGTCTTCTAGAAAGAATATAGATTGGGTTCCAGTTTGCATAGTCTCCAAGAATATCTCATTCAAAAAATCCCAGATAGCAGATGTTAGCAAAATTGGAGGAGTAAGGGCCTTTGATAATGCTCATCTCTATAAAAACAAAGGGGAAACTGGCAAACGTTGTCAAAATCAGCTTTTTCAAAACCCTGGAACAACACATACACAGAGCTTCTGAGCAAGGACTAAGCTAACCAAGCAGAGATAGTGGCCACATACAACAAAGGATACAGACTTTCCAGAATTAGTTCCGAAAAGTCAGTAAACAAATGAACGGGGAACAATGATAACAAGAATAAGAACAAGAACAAGAACAACAACAAAAAC